CTCCTCGGCCCCAATTTACTTAGTATTGTCATCTCAAGGTACATCCATTTTCCTATGACCCAAATTTATCCTTCAGTATGACTGAGTAGAACTCAATTATGTATAAAATCCATATTTTATCTATTCCTGTTGATGGCCTTAGGGACATATAGGCTGCTTCCAAGATCTAGCAGGAGTGCAACAATAAATGTGGATATGCATACATCACTATGGCATGATGTCTTTAACTCTTATGGAGATACCCAGAAGAAGTAGAGCTGGGTTGAATGGGATTTGTTTTTTTAGCTTTCTTTGAGAAATACCCATACTGATTTCCACAGTATGACTATTAGAGAAAAGTACAGGGGCTGGCGAGATGGCTCAGTGGTCTAAAGCACCTACTTAGAACAAGCTTGGCAAAGCACAGGGACTGTGGTTCGATCCCCCAGCACCACATGCCAGCCAGCCCCGCCCCCCAGTGGGCTGAGCTGGCCACACACAAAAATAAATAAATTAAAAAAAAAAAAAAGAAAGAAAAGTACATCAGCAGTGTGGAACAATGAGGTTGTTCCTTTTTCTCAACAACTTCTACAGCATTTTTTTTTTTTTAATGTATTTGATTCAGGGTCTCACTATGCAGCATGGACTTGTAGTGATCTTCCTGTTTTCTGCCTCACCAGTGCTGGGATTACAGGTGTGTGCCACCAAGCCCAGTCTGAATCCGTGCTAAGTGTGCCCCGGGGGCGGGGCCAGCACAGCACATTGGGGATCCAACTCCAGCTGCTGTGCTGTGCTTAAGCAGGTGCTTTAGTCTGCTGAACTATCTGGGCAACCCTTTTTTTTTTTTTCCCAATACTGGGGATTGAATTCCTGTAGCTTAGATTTTTTTTTTTTGCGGATCGGGAATTGAACTCAGGCCCTGGTACTTGGCAGGCAAGCAGTTACTCTACTGAGCTATCTCTCTGGCCCTAGAATTTTTTTTTTCTCCAAATGCCTTCAGGGCAGGTTTGGCTGGCTTGAGTTGTGGGGATCGAACCACAGCAACCTCAGCCTGACTGCTTTGTTGAAGCAGCCACTTAAAGAACTGAGCAGGCCCCCTGTAGCTTAGATTTTTGATGATAGGCTTTCATCCTGGTATAATACAGAATCTCGTGTTGACTTGATGCACCTTTCTCTAACAGTCAAAGATACTTTTTTCTTTTTTGTTTGATTTTCGAGGTAGTCTTGCTGTCTAATTTAGGCTGGGCTTGAACTCACAGGGATCCTCTTGCCTCAGCCTCCCACATGTTGAGATTATAGGCATGTGCCACCACACCCCTGAACATTTTTTGTTGGTGTTTATTGGTCATTTGTGCTTTTTCTTATGAGAAGTATCAGACTGGGTAGGTAGCAAACTCCTGCCTGACAAACACAAGGTCTTGAGTTTGATTCCCGTTACCAAAAGAAAAACAAGTTGGGTGTGGTGGCACAGGCCTGTAATCCCAGCACTCAGGAGGCTGAGGCAGGAGAATTGTTGCTGTCTTGAAGACAGCGTGAGCTGCAAAATGAGCAGTTCAAAGCCAGCTTGAACTGCATAGCAGGACCCTATCTCAAAAAAGAAAAAATAAAAAAAAGTATCTTCATTTCTGTTGCCTGTTTTTAATTGGGTCCTTTGTGGGGGGCAGTGTCTAATTTTTAGAGTTCTTTGTATGCTCGGTATATTAGTCCTCTGTCCAAGCAGTAGCCAACAGTTTTTTTATTTTTGTTTTTGTTTTTTTTATTTTATTTATTTGTGTGTGTGTGTGTGTGTGTGTGTGTGTGTGGCCAGCTCAGCCCAGCAGGGGGCGGGGCTGGCTGGCATGTGGTGCTGGGGGATTGAACCGCGGTCCCTGTGCTTTGCTAAGCTTGTTCAAAGTAGG